TAAGCAGGGGACACTGGTCCCTGAGAGAAGGAAAACAAATAATATGAGCCCCATGACAGTTCCAGCTGACTGCCCAGACAGATTTTCCAGACTGCGGTGCAAAGAAGGAGAATCCAAACAGAGCCAGGCAGTAACCTCGAGCTGAGGAAAGACGCACTGAGTCTGGAGAGTTCAAAAAGCAGAGTCTTGGGGAGAAGACAGCTGTGCAGAGAAACAGCTGTGGAGATCCACAGGGGATACGCCCTCAAGGCTTCATATGTAGAAGCATATGCCTACAGAGACAGGTTACCTGAGGAAAAGGAAAGAACCACTTAAAAGGAACTGATACTCAGAACTCAGACAGGTCCAAGAATAGTGCGTGTTCCAAGCAGCCAGAGGGAAAACATAACTCAAGGAAAATCAGGCAGGGTATTTACAGTCGTATTACCTCAGGAGTGGAAGAAATTAGCCTTAGATTAAAGGTGGTTCCGGTTTCACCTAACAAGATTTAACAGGAGGCTTGAAAAGACAAAACTGTTACCAAGTGACTTAAAACCAAACTTCAGAGCAAAGGTTCAAGAATTTTTATAAGGATGTAGTACTAAGCATCTAACAAGGTAAAAATCACAAGGTTTGGAAGTTAACAACAAAAAAATTATCAGGCTTACAAAGAAGTAGGCTAGTATAAGCCATAGAAGGAGAAAAAACAATGAATAAACACAGTTCCAGAATTTGCATGGATGACAGAATTGTCAGATTAGGACATTAAAACAGTTACTATAATTATATTCCTTATGTTCAAGAATATAGGGGAAAGATTAAGCGAGTATAGTGCATATTGGAAAGATTTTTTTAAAGACCCAAATCAAACTTTTCAAGATGAAAAATGGGATGACTGAACTAGAAAATACCCAAGATGAGCCAGCAGCAGATTAGATACTGCAGAATTAAAGATTAGTGAACTTGAGGATGTAGAAACCAAAATGAAATATAGAGAAAGTAGAGCCTAAAAAAAAAAGAGAAAAATTAAGAGTGTCAGTGGGCCATGGGATGCTTTAAAGATGCCTGATAAGATACATTTTTAGAGTCCCCAGAGGAGAAGAGATACTAAAGACATAATGGCCGGAAATGTTTCACATTTGATGAAATCTAAGAAGCTCAACAAGTCCCAAGCACAAGAAACATGAAGAAAATTATACAAAGGTGTAACAGAATTAAGAAGATTATATTCACTGATAAGGGGAAAAACAGAGAATTAAAACAGAATATAAACAAAAAAAACAAAATAAGGATGATAACAAGTTCTCTTTGGAAAAATATAGTTAAGGCAATAGAGCAACATCTTTAAAGTACTTAGGGGAAAAAAAAACAACCCTGTCAACTTAAAGTTCTATACCCAGCACAAATGTCTCTCAAAAAACCAAAGGCAAAATACTTTGTCAGACCAAAGCTGAGTCCCCACATTCAGACTCCAACTATAAGAACTGTCAACACATGTTCTTCAGTCAAAATGAAAATCATAGCACAGAGAAATATGTATCTGTACTCAGGGATGAAGAATATCAGAAATTATAATTATGTGGATAAATATGAAAAAATTTTTATCCCAATTTTTAAATCTGACAAAAAAAAATCTGTCTAAACAGCAATACACACCAAGGTTTATAACATATGTGGAGAATATGTACAAAGTCTAGGAGAGGAAAATATAAGTATACTGCTAAGGCTTTTATACTATCCATGACATGGTATCATATTAACTGAAGATACACTATGATAAGCTAAAACTACTCCAAACTCTAAAGTAACCATCAAAAAAAGTAAAAGGTATAGCTAATAAGCCAAAGACAGAGAAAAATGGAATAAATCAAAATATCCAATCCAAAAGAATTTTAAAAGAACCAAAAAATAGAAGGGACAAATAAAACAAACTGGTGACAAATCTTAAACCCAACTGGATCAGTAATCACATCCAATGAAAAGGGTCTAAACACCTCAATGAAAAATCAAAGGTTATCACAGGGACAGAAACAAACAAAACTCAACTGTACACTTCCTACAATAGATGCATTTTAAATATAAAGACAGAAATAGACCAAAAGTAAAAGGGATGGGAGGAAAGTCTGCTAACACTAATCAAAAGAAAGAGTGGCTATATTAATAACAAAGTACATTTTGTAGCAAAGACTATCACCAAGGATAAAAGAAGATACTTCATAATGACAAAAGGAAAACTTCATGAGGAGTACATAGCTGCCCTACATGCGCATATGCTCAGTTAGCAGAGTTTCAAAATGCGTGAAACAAAGACTGATAGAACCCAAGAAGAAATAGAAAAATACATAATATATTCAGAGCTATCTCAGTGACTGATAGAACAAGCGACTGAAAAATCAACCAAACACAGAAAACTGAACACTAACCAAAGAACTTAACATTTATAGAACACTCCGCCCAACAACAGCAAAGTATGTATTTTCTTCCATTGTACACAGAATGTATATCAAGTTAGGTCATTTTCCCGTCCATAAAAATGTCTCAAAAAGTTGTTAAAAGAATCCATTCATACAGATGATGCTCTCTGACTACAATGGAACTGAATTCGAATCAATAACATAAAGGCTTAAAAAAAAAAAAATCCCCAAGTATTTGGACACTTCTAAATAAACTATACTGGTCAAGAAGAACTCAACAGGAAAATTAGAAAGTACTTTGAACTGAATGAAATTGAAAGCACATTTCAAATCTGTGGGATGTGGCTAAAATCAGTACTATGGCAAAATGTATATTGCTAATCACATACATTAGAAAAAGATGAAGGTCCCAAATTAATGACCTCAGGCTCCATCATAAGCAACTAGATAAATCAGAGCAAATTAAACCCAAGGCAAGCTGAAGAGACTAAACAATAAAGATCAGAAGGGAAACCAACTAAATTAAAAAAAAAAAAAACACAGAAAAACAATTGAGAAATTTAATGAAAGCAAGAACTAGTTCTTTGATAAAATTGATAAACCTCCAGCCACACTGATCAGGAAAAAAGACAGATGACACAAATTGTCAATATTAGGAATGAGAGAAGTGACATTACTACAGGTTCTATAGAATAAAAAAATAACAAGGCAATATTATGGACAACTGTATGTCAACAGATGAAATGGACAAATTCCTTGAAAAACGTGGGCTACTAGAGTTCACAGCTGCCCCTTCTCCAGAGCATTGTTATGGCAGAATGGCACCGATGTACCTGGGGGCTTATGTCCCAATAGAAGGCAACCAGCAAATAATAACCAACACAAGGGTTAAAAAAAATCATCCCACTTCACCGTTGCCTCAGGTTGAAACCAGTTCTGTAGCACAATTCATGCTTTAGTAGGATCAGAATGAAGCTAGGTTCCAGTTTATATCTTCAGCTTCATGCTTACCTAGCTGTGTTCCCCTGCCTTATCCAGCTTCCCTCACTATCCTTTCCTGACAGTTCTTCAGTAAATCACTTGCCATGGATCCACATCTTGAGCTCTGTTTATTGGCAACCTGACATGAGACAGGGCATGGGAGGGAGGCCGGAAGGCCAAATGACAAGAGAAGAGACTTGCTCCTTCCTCCTTCCTTGCCATTCCTGTCTGAATTACCCTGGTGATGACCTCTTATCTTGGGTTAAGCACTATATTGTGCACCCCCCACCAAAGATGTTAAAGACCTAACCCCCAGTACCTCTGAAGTTGGCTTTAATTGAAAAGAAGGTGTTGGCAGATGCATGAGTTAAGATGAAGTAGACTTTAATCCAATATGACTGGTGTCCTTATAAAAGGGGGAAATATAGACTCAGAGACAGACATGCTTGGAGGGAATACGATGTGAAGAAACAAGAACGCCACCTACAAACCAAGCAAAGGTACACCTGAGCCTGCCAGAACCAGGAGAGAGCCCCAGAACAGAAGGAACAAACTCTGCCCTCCCTCTGATTTCAGATTGTGAGCAAATACACTTCTGTCGCTCTAAGCCACATAGATTGTGGTACTTTGCTATGGAAGCCTAGAAAATGAATGTGCCCTGTCAGTGGCAGTTCCAGTCTTGCTTTTCCCAAGAATGCCCACAATCAGCTTCACGTCCCCATCCTGGAGGTTCCCACCCCAGGGTTCCTTTGTCTGCTTCCAGGTTTTGGTAATTCCAACTTCTCTTGTTCCCCAATCCCTAGGGATGGGAGGGGCTTCCCACAATCACTGTTTTACTTAAAAAATAATCTTCCTTTTTTCAGTTTCCAAACACTCACTTAACTACTTCCTTGTATTTAATTTGCTCTGTAATAGGAAACAGCTATTATTTATTTAATAATAAATTAACATATAGAGTTTATTTCCAAGACCGCAGAGTGATAACCGTTTCATTCGGAGGAAAAACCAAAGTCTATAACACAGTTTGTAAAATCCTACACAATGCAGGGCTCTGGGCTGCCCCATATTGCCTGCCCTCATTTCTTCTCATTTCCTCTGTCACCCACTCTGCTCCACCTGCACTGGTCTCTCTGCTAATCCTTAAACATACCAAGCATGCTTGCTTTATGGCCTTTGACTTGCTGTTCCCTGTACTTACAGACATCCGCATGCACGTAGCCCACTCTGCTCTAATATCTATTCCAGTCTCTGCCTGTACCTCAGGAGACACCTTTCCTGACAACATACCCGTGGTATCCCTATGGGAATGATTCTAGAATCTTCCCTATCAGAATCCACATGCTGAAGTCCCTTATACAAAATGGCATCGTATTTGCATGTAATGCATACATATCCTCCCATATATGTTATACTTATTATACTTACTATATTTATTATACTTATACAATGCAAACGCCATGTAGTCATGTAAATAGTCATCCGTGCAAGGCTAATTCAAGTTTTGCTTTTTGGAACTTCATGGAATCGTTTTTTAGTATTTTCAATGGCAGTTAGTTGAACCCCCAGATGCAGAACTTGTGGATATAGAGGACTGACTATAAACAGTAAGTCCCCCTACATACGAACCTTCAAGCTGTGAAGTTTCAAAGATGTGAAGGTGCATTCCATCAGCATCAGGTGTGAGTGAAATGGCAGCTTGCCCTTGGTCACCTGCTGCTGAAGACCCGTCGGCTCTACCATCTCCCACCTCCAGGAATTCTTCTTGCCTGTTCACTGGATGCCAGCCCCTGTATGAGAGCCACTGTATTGTACTACTGTACTTTCCAAGGTACTGTAAGATCAAAATGTTTTCTTAAGATCAAAGACCAAAGACGGTCTCTTATCTTTTGTGTTTGTTTTTATGTATTATTTGTGTGAAAAGTATTACACATCTATTACAGTACAGTACTACATAGCCAATTGTGTTAGTTGGGTTCCTAGGCTCACTTTGATGGACTTAAATTGGAATTACGAATGCACTCTTGGAAGGGAAATCATTCATACGTAGAGTCTTACTAAATAAAATTATTATTTTTCTCAGCCCCTGTACTCTTTTCCCATGACCCCCTTCCTCTATAGCACTCAGCATTTTCTAGCATGTTCTGTAACTACTTGTTATCTGCCTCCCGCAATGGAGCAGAGCACCATGAGAGGAGTTTTGCTCACTTTGTCCCCAGTGTTCAGGGCAGGATCTGGCATGTGGCAGGTGCCAACTTTTGAAAACAACTGAATGACTAGAGCAAACCCTACCAACAGCCCTATTGCTGACTGCCATCAGTGAACTTGAACTATAATTGGTCTTTAATGTTTAAAGGATTTGTATTTGTTCACCATCCTTCCTCAGGGGACTCACATTTTAGTGACAATATCTCCTGAAATTCCTTGGCAAGGGTGCACTTTAAGTTGTGTCTTCCCTTCTGTTTTAACAATTCAAAATTTTTATAATGCAAATATTTTCTGTATTGAAAACCTTTAAAAAGCATTGAGCCAAACAAGATTGGACTATCAGTAGCATTTATCTAGAAGTCAGCACCCACCGTACTGTAAGCCTGTACAAGACTGTGCTGGGGTGATCAAGAAGGAAATGCAATTTTGCCCTCATGGAGTTTACAGTCACATGGATATTCAATTTCCACGTATGAAAAAAACTTCGGAGAAGTAACAGTGCACAAAAGAAAACAAACAAAGAAAATAAGTGCTGATTAGAGGAGAAGCAACGGCTGAAGTGCCGTTAGAACTAAAATTCCTAGAAAGAAAGTGAAGTCAGTTAGTCGTGTCCAACTCTTTGCGACCCCATGGACTGTAACCTACCAGGTTCCTCCATCCATGGAATTTTCCAGGCATGAATACTGGAGTGGGTTGCCATTTCCTTCTCCAGGGGGTCTTTCCAACTCAGGGATTGAACCTGGGTCTCCTACGTTGTAGGCAGAACGCTTTACCCTCTGAGCCACCAGGGAAGTTGAGTGAAAAGCCAGAATTTAAAGAAGTTCAACAAGGATAAGGTACTTGTAAAAGGAAATGACAAATGCATGAATGAAACTTCACTAGTTTCCTGGAGTTTATAAACTACGCTGTGAGTTTGGCCTATAGCCTCTCCAATCTTAGCTGTCTACTTTATTGTCTACAACATTTGCTATTTATTCTGCCTTCCCTTAAATGTATCATATTCTATTCTGAATTCAAAGGTTTTCTTTTTTTTTCATTGAAATACAGTTGATTTACAATGTTTGTTGTGCTAGTTTCAGGAAAGTGACACAGCAAAGTGATTTAGTTATACATAAATATATATGTGTATTACAGTTTCATATTCTTTTCCAATAGAGGTTATTACAAGATATTGAGTATAGCTCAAGGGTGGGGTGCTTCCCAGGTGGCAAAGAGTCTGCCTGCAATGAGGAGACATAAGTGACACAGGTTCGATTCCTGGGTTGGGAATTTCCCTTGGAGGAGGGCACGGCAACCCATTCCAGTATTCGTGCCGGGAGAAACCAATGGACAGAGGAACCTGGCGGGCTACAGTCCACAGGGTGACAAAGAGTTGGACACGACTGAAGCACCTTAGCATGCACACGCCTTGTGCTACACAGTAGGTTTTTGTTGTTTATTTCATATATAGAAGTGTGTATCTGTTAATCCCAAATTCCTAATTTATCCCTGCCCCCTTGTCCTCTTTGGTAACCATAAATTTGTTTTCTATGTCTGTGAGTCTATTTCTGTTTTATAAAGAAGTTCACTTGTATCATTTTTTAGACTCTACATATAAGTGATGGGACATTTGTCTTTCTCTCTCTGACTTACTTCGCTTAGTATGATAATCTCTAGATCCATTCAAGCTGCTGCAGATGGCAATGTTTCATTCTTTTTCCTGTACTTTAAATGGCAAGGAGGACTCGCTTCACACGCTCCTTCCAATTCATCCTCGGGTCCCAGCTGAAATGTCGTTTTCACAGAAAGGCTCCTTCCAGCCACTTAATCTGAAATAAATGTGCCTTGTTATTCTCCATCTTAGCATTTCTTTCATAGCCTTTACTGTAACTATTAAATCACAAGTTCATTTGTGACCTTATCATTTCTCTTCCTTACTAGATTATTGGGGATTCCAAGGTGGTGCAAGTAGAAAGGAAACCATCTGCAAACACAGGAGACACAAGACATGGGTTCAATCTCTGGATCTAGATTATTAACTACTAGAAGCAGAATGTTTCCATTATTTTTCATTACTGGATACATATTGCGGAGTATAGTGCCTGGCACTTTATATTTGTTAAAATAGAATTAAATAGCACATATTTCTGTAAAGTCCAGAAATCCGTATATAAAACCAATTCAAATACCCCAAATAGTTCTATTTTAAACATTTACCCATTTAAACTGTGCTAACTTCTGATACATAGACAATGGTATCTACTTAACTGTATATACATACATGTATAAATGTATACATAATCCCTATATATGGTAATATTTTGAGCTTCACCTATGAAATTAATTTCAATTGGGGTCAAACATTTCATCTTTTGCAAAACACCTAATTTGTTCATGAAAATCTTGAATCCATCTGAGGTAAGGAATAGAATCTTAGATAGGACTGGGGTATGGGATTGGGATGGTCAGACATGCCATTAGACCATACAGGGTGCATTGGTGCAAATTAGAAAAAGAAGCCACATCATATGGCCAGGCACCAATAAACTAGGCTTGGTGAATGGAGCAGGATTTCGGCTCCCAATCCCTGCCTCAGCCTGATGCCCTGCGCTGGGTGCAACCTACATGTAGGTGGCAGTCCTAGAGAGATAGCTCAGTGGTGGTGCAAGCAAACGGTGATCTGGACGCACTGTACAGCTTCATTCCTTGACAGACGGATTGAATTTGTCTGAAGCAGTTTGGTTGGGTAGGGGTCTTTTCTTCTCACCACTTCTGATGATTCAGCTGAAGGAGATCACCCTGATGAAAAAAAAAGTCCATTTCTCAGGTTCAAGTTCACAGACGGTTGGGCAGCCTCCATAAGGGCTTTCATGGTTTTCTTTCAGAAAATAGATCAATCAATAGCTTGATTCTTAAAAAAAAAAAAAAAAAAGCTGTAGATCAGGTTATAGATGAGTTTGCTATTTCCCTCTGCAAAAAATGAATCAGAAGTTAGTTCACTTGTATAACACTGTTTGGTGACTATTTGGAAATTCTATCAGTGACACTGAAAATAAATGCAACTAACTCATCAGTGACCCAAATTATGGATTGTCGTGACTAACAGCAGATGGGATCAATTCTAGCTCCCATGGATCAAGAAGGAACAACTGTGTCTCATTTCAGTAATCATTTATAAACTATCTTTAACTTAGGGTCTCAGTTTATGATATCCGCATAATTTTCTTAAAACCAAAATTAATTTACCTTTAAAAGTCCTTAGTCTTTAAACACAAACCATAAGTAAGGCCTGTTCCAAAAATTCATCACTTGGGGTGGGAGCTCAAACCACGGAAATAGAATTTTTAAAGGATTTTTTACTTTGGAAAACCAACATAACACTGGTATTTGGGAATAAAACCTTAAATAGTGAAAAGCAACCTAGACTGGGTCTCTGGTTTTTAAACACCTAATTAGACGAGATTGTGCAAATGACTTAATCTCGACAGGATTCCTTTCCAGATTTGTTTATTAAATAAGAGTTTAAAGTCTTAAAGTCTTTATAGCTCTGTGATTTATTTTATATTAAAAAGTCTTCAACGGGGCAGGGAGAATGTCAGATAAAGTAGTCTGTGGGATCACAAGGAGCATGTGGGATCACAAGGAGCATTTGGGATCACAAGTATACAGAAGTCTTGTGTATACAACAGCTCCTGAGAGAAATGTTAAGTACGTCATAGGAGCACTTACAGTGAGCTCAGGACTGGATTCCACAGCCCAGCAGATTCTTCTCAGTTATTCTATCACCTCTTTTGGGAAAAACCTAGTTCCAATAGCAAATCCAGGCCCTGGAAGAGAAAGGGGCAGAAGCCTTATCTAGCCACTGCGACCACTTTAACATTAATTAATCAGTTATCCACACCCATTGTCACGGAACTTTCACATTAGCTTGACCAAGTCTGTGTTGGAAAAGTGAAGCAAATCCAAACATGGCGAACGTTCCTCCATTGCCAAAATGAGAAAACTGCCTCATCTCCTCTTCAGAACCCCTGTACCAGAAAATGAACTCCCCTTGTTAAACCTCAAGTGGACAGAAAGCACATTTTGTGATGCAACTTCGTAGAGATTCCTTCTGATGCCGATTTGGGGGGGATCCAGTTAATATCACGTCACCGCGCTCGATAAGGCACAGATCACTTTAGACTTTGTCCAGTTGGGGGGAGGGAAGAGGCTCCTCTATTTAGGTACACTGGGAAAGTAGCGCATCCAGCCCCCTGACGCGCGCAAACCTACTACTAATTCCTTCTCCAGGGCCTCTGTGTTTACACCCATGCGGGAATCTCCCCAGGAGTTTTTCTTTTTCTTTTTTTTCCATTTAAAACGAACGCTGATCCCAATGCCCGCTTCTCCCCCGCTCCTCCACCTGGGGTATTCCTCTGTTCTCCAGAAAGCGCCAGCGGGGCCCAGCTACGCTCCAGGGCACAGGTGGGGTCAGGGAAAGGGGCGTTCGGGCCCAGCCCGCCCAGGACCCTGGTGGCAGCAGTTCCCCCAGGAGGCCCCAACACCCCACCCCACGCATAGGCGCTTGTGCCACTTCGGGCGCGCAGGACTTAGGAGAGGTGCATCTTCTCGGCACAGTCTTCAAACCATCTGCACATTCTCAGCGGCTTGCAGCATCGGGGCTGAATCCCCGCCTCTCAATGTGACCCCAGGAAGATCTGAACCGGCGTGAGCTTCACACTGCAAATCGCCAGGGGATGGAGGAGTCGCGCGGGCCAGGGTTGGGGGAAAGGGGCCGACAAGCTCCCCCACAACTCCAGCCCACTCGGCTCACCCTCCCTCCGGGGCAAGGGGCGGGTCGGAGCCGGGGTAGGGGAGGCCCTGGAAGGGTCCCCTCCCTTCTCACCTCCCGCCGCCTGCTCTTCCTCACTTTCTCCAGGCGCCTCCGCGCGGGGTCGTGCGGAGGGGCTGCGTGAGGAGCGAAGAGTGGACGGAGAGCCGGGCCGCGCGCCCCGGTCCGGAGCGGGCCGGGCCGGGGGGACCAGAGCCGAGCACGGCCCGCACCCCACTCCACCCCACCCGGCCCGAGCCGGGCTGCGCGGCCAGGCGGCGGCGCGGACACCCGCGCCCTAGAGGCTGGCTCCGAGGGCCCCGCCGGGCCCTCGCCTCCGCCCGCCGCCGCGGCCCCTCCCCGCCGCACCCTAGAGGCCGCCGGGGCCGGGGGACGCGCTCGCGCCCGGGCCGCCCCCTCCCCTCCCCCAGCCCGGGCGGGGGCGCGCGAGCAGCGGTGACGTCAAGGGGCGCGCGGTGGCAGCACCTCCCCGCGCGCTAGTTAAAAAGAAGAAGAAAAGAGGGAACGAAACATGAGAGGCTGTGTGAGAAGCTGCAGCCGCCGGCAGAGGAGACCTCAGCATCCTCTAGAGCCCAGCGCTGGCCCTGCCTCCGCCTGCCCCGCCGCCGCCGCCGCCGCCGTGTCTGTTCCTGGTACTGTCTCACCTACACAACTCCCGTTACACGGACCAGTGAAGCTCTGTGGCCGTCTTCTCCTCCTCTTCTTCCCCCTCTTCCACCTCCTTCTCCTCCTCCCACTTCTCAGCCGCATCAGGAAGCCCCCCACCCGACTGACATTGGCACCACTGCAAACGGTGTCAACCGCACAACTTTATCTCGCTCCTCCGGCTCCCCTGAGGCATCGGGCCCATCGCCTTGTCTTTTATTTTTTGCAAAGTTGCATCGCTCCACACCCTCTCCCCCCCGCCAGCCCTCTCTGCCTCTCGAGTGTCCTGCCGCCCCGCAGCCCCTTCCCGGAGCTGCGCCCCAGGGCCCCTGCGGGGCAGTGACCTTCCCCCCCCCTCCACCTCCCGCGCCCAGCCCCTGCCGCGCGGGGCATTTGATGCTGAAGATGCTGTCCTTTAAGCTGCTGCTGTTGGCCGTGGCTCTGGGCTTCTTTGAAGGAGATGCTAAGTTTGGGGAAAGAAGTGAAGGGAGCGGAGTGAGGAGGAGAAGGTGCCTGAATGGGAACCCCCCGAAGCGCCTGAAAAGGAGAGATAGGCGGTTGATGTCCCAGCTGGAACTGCTGAGTGGGGGAGAGATGCTGTGTGGTGGCTTCTACCCTCGACTGTCCTGCTGCTTGCGGAGTGACAGCCCCGGGCTGGGGCGCCTGGACAGCAAGGTAGGCATGCACCCGCCTCGCAGCTGCGAGATTGGCATAGTGACTGGGTGGGGTTCCCTGAGGCTCCGGCGCTGCTGGTGGCTGAAGAGGGGCCACACTTGTCTGGGGGAGTCCTTCTTGATAACTTTCTAAAGCGCTAGCGTGATTCGTCTGTGTGTTCCTCTGGGGCGCGCAGACACCTCTCCCGCCCCCAAGAGTCCGCGGGCGGGATGCTGTGCAAAACTGCTTGTCTCTGAAAAGAGAAGGCTCTGTGGTACCCGCATTCTGGGCTGGGTAAATATTTTAAAAGAATCGCGATGAACAGTGTGTTTTGGATCGAATCGGGCATTGGCTGCGGTGAAACTAAATGAAGGTGGCTGTGGTTTCCGGTTTTTCTAGGGTAAAAAGATTTGTGCAGTTTTCTCCACGTGCTCGGTCAGAGAGAGGATTGAATCGTAAAGGATGTTGAAGCATGGTTGGTGTAAGATCCCCAGCCGGGTCAGAAGGCGGGGGAGGTGTCCTGTGCTACAATAGTTAAGCAGCGAAAAGGAACTCCTGGTAGTCCAGTTTAGAACCCCAGAATTGGAGAAAGGTTTGGCTGGAGCGTGTTTATCACAGAAAACCGTGGCGATTCTCCTCCTGTCATGTTTTGTAACGTTATAAAATCGGGCTTTCAGTGGTACTTGTGTAGGAACATCTTCTCTAGGAACTTGTTTTGGGGGCAGTGGCATTTACAGTTTCCCGATGTTTTTAAGTTTAAACAAATATGAATATAGTGTTGGCTGGGTGTAAAGACATGCTTATCTGAGTTTTGCCACATCTTTCTTGCCCTGGGTTGCAGTAATGTGTGTTCCCTACTGTACTCCAAGGAAAGACTGAGGGGTTGGGTCATTAACAAGCCCTGCCCGTGAAATAAACAATCAGGTGTCTTTGCTCCCCCTCCCTTTCTCCATTTTAGGTTTAATTAAGAATTCCTCTGTTACAACACTGCAGTTGTCAAGGTCTGAGAGACTCTTGGAAAACTTGTGCTTCAGTCTTGCTGGCCCAGGCATTAAAAAAAAAAAAAATACCCAGGCTGAATCTAATTTTTATGCTCAGTTCACGGTAGATTTCACTCTATTCTCATGTAAACAGCTCCTACGAATCAACATATGTGTCTGGGTGGTATCTCTCACTTTGTTTTGTAACAAAAAGCCATATTGCATCATTTAATTTGCTCAAGTCATGCAAATAGGAAAAAATCAATAGGACAAAAAGGGGTCGACTTATCCTCCTCCCCACTAAACTGCTGCCCACACACAGAGTCCTGTTGCTTATGGCGAAAGAATAACAACAACACCATTGTGTTTGTTAGTTGGTTCACTAATGGGTGAAACTAGAGAACATCATTCGCTTTCAGCCCCCAGCTCTGTCCAAATGTTCATGCCTTTTGAGGGAGCATTTGTCCAACTCGCTCTATTCCCAGCTGAGTGAGAACTGTCTTCCTGCAGGTTTTCAGCTCCAGCTCTCTCTTTATTCTTACCATATGCAGCAGTAGTCTGAGATGCAGGGAACAGATATTGCAACGTTTTATTCAAAACAATGTCATCAAGCTCCTGGGTTTTAATTGAATTAAAGTACAAAAATCACTCCGTTCACAGCCGCTCCAGGGTTTTTTACCAGAAGCTGGACAGAACCAGGAAATTCAGATAAAGATTTAGAAATATTTGCCATGAAACCTCCCCATGTGTGATATATGTATGAGTATACCAATGATCCACAGACCCCTGCAATACTGAACTCAGCCAGGTACAGGAGGAATGACAACTTTTTCTTGACTAAATGTAATGGGGAACTGAGGGAGAGATGGGGGGCTGGGTCTGAGTAGAGTTATAACCCTTAAGAGAAGTTATATAAATTTTTTTTAAAGAAATCATTCTTTAGGAAGCATTCTGCCACGTTAGCGATCCACATTCCTTCTGTTTTACGTGCTTCCAATCTCCAACAAACCCCTACTCATGTGGAAAATGTGTCTGAATTAAAGTTGGTACACTAGACTTTGGCTGGTTCCATTACAAGTGGCTTATAAATCAACAGTACTTAAATTGTTCAAATCAGAGATGTGACATAGTTCTGCAAATGCATTCTCGACCCATGTTCGTTCTCAAGTTTTAATAGTTTTTAAAACATGTTATTTTATAATAAACTTCTGTGTTTCCCTTTTTTCCCCTAAGCCTTCCTGGCTTATAATGTATGTTAGGGTCTTATTTCATAATGTGTGTACAGGAGAGATGATGGCTATTTGAAAGGGCCCTTTTTTTGTTTATGAAAAAAAAAAAAGTTTTCCCCAGAAAGATTTCTGCAAATTTTCATGAAACTACAGGAGTAGCATTTTCCTAAAGGAAGAAACTTCATAGACAAATAGTAGCAAATTAGGTAGAATATTGATCATGCTTAGCTGGGCAATTAAGTCCAGTTTCCAGGCTAACCCATTTTCTTTAATATGTAAGGAACTATTGAATGTAGTTGAGTTCAATTCTTTAGCCACAGTATTATTCTCATAAGTTATTTTGTATTTTCCTTTCTTTGTATATTTTAGTAGTTTTGTGAGCTGTAACGAGATGGTTAACTACTGTTACAAATAAGTACTGCCAAAATCTAGAAAGTTATGTTGTCTTAGCAATATTTTTGCAGCTTCTAAATACAAGATGCTAAAAGGATCTAATTCCCATTAGCCAAATTGAATCTGCAACCAACTGAAATACCCCCATTTCTAAAACTTAACTTGTAGCCACAGAGGCATAGAAGCTCTCTCTACCTTGGGTGGTTTCACAGCCAAAGCTGTCAAGGAATGGGTGAAAAGTAATTGTTTTCAAGTGTGCCCTTTTACAATCATTTGTTTGCTCTGGCTCTTTCAGGGACAAAGGCTATTGTTGAACACATCCAACTAAACAAATAACTCATCCTGGGGTCCCTTTAACAGCTGCCTTAGTACAATGATCTATTTACATATTAGCCTAAAATTGAAACTGAACTCTTTAATGACATAATCCAGCACTACAGTCCAGAGACGCATGTGTTCTATCCAACAGCTGAACAACCTTGTAGGCATATGATTTTTAGAAATAACTTTTTGTGTACCAAGTGATCTTAAGGCATCATCTTAATATACTGTCCTGTATTTTCCCCTTTTGTCCCCTCATCGAACCCATGTGCGTGCCTTTTTATCCTCTTTGTTCAGTTACTTGATAAAGAGAAATACAGAAGGTCTCTGTCACCCATTTTACTATTTGTTGATAAGCTGCAGTTGTAGGCCACGCTTCACTGTGTATTCCAGGATTTATCTTACCTTCCTTCTATGGATTTTTACTTTCATGTGGCTAAAGATTAAAGGATGACCTACCAGATGTTGTAAATTAGTCAGCAACAGCCACAGTCCTTACTAGGCGCACTGTAATAATGTTTCGAAGTTTTACATGATTTCCAAAGTATATTTAGTTTAAACCGCTATAATTTGATGGTTTCATATATGGCTTTTAAAAATTGAAACAGGAAATTAGCTTAAATTTCTTATTAAGATTGATGACATTGTCAGACATAAAGTTAAGGCCCTGTATAGACACAGACACATAAGCCAAAAAAAAGAAGAAGAAAAAGAAAAAAAATACCCTACACACACCAGCACTCATCTGTCTAAAACAGCATTGCAGCTTGGGCTGAGTCAGTTTAATTGACTTCAGTAGGACTATTGGTTCATTGAAACCAAAGCCAGAATGATGGCTCTATCTATCTTCAAATAGGTATTTACACTGCAGACCCCACACAGAGCAAAATGTTACCATCCTGCTGGGCCAGGACAGCGTGAAACTTTACAAAGAATAATATTATACTTGATTTCAGATAATTTACTGAATCCTATTTCTGAAACTTTTGATGAGAGAACTTGTGGCCAGGACACATTCCAAAAATTGTAAAAGACAAAATTCTTTAGGCACTAAAATCAGGCTCTTCCTGGACAGCAGCTGGGAGTGTGCATGGGATCATTTTGTTTCAACTATGAAAAATCTAAGCTTGCATATTCTCCATAAAACCAAAGGCAATTACATTCCAGTTTGTCAGCCAGCAAAAGAGGTGGCCTCAGCATCCTGCAGTTGTTTTGTTCTTACTGGACTGCCATGTGATAAACAAACAGAACACAGTTGAACAGTATTAATATTGAATAGATCTGGTGAGGTCTGACAAAGTATGGACAAGAAAAGACATTTAAAACATTCTTGGAATGCAAATTCTAAGTGTCTGGTGTACGCTTCCTTTTGGAAAACTTTAACCATTTAAGCAATTGTCATTTAAATAAAATGATAAAAATAAAAACGTAAGCACAATTTTAATTATTAAGAAAGTTTCTGCATATTGTAGATAGTTACAACTCATCATATACATATATGTACACACTTTTTTTTCTGAAACAGGGTAGCTTCTACTGGACTTTTAATTACTACGTGCTAAAATTTCAGCACGTCTTGTGTGCAGCTTTGTTTTTTTCTTTTAGTTGCTTTGCTCTTTCAGATCCAAATTTTGTGATCACCTAGAATATCTTTATCCTAAAAAAACAGAAGCCATATGAGTCACTCAGTTTACTCAAATTAGAACCTCAGCTTGCGATGCAATACTTGCTTTAAGCAGTGATCTAGTGTTTAAAATGTTAATTTCAGTTCATAGTTCTAAAGAAATAAGTGTAAACACAGTTATATAAACTGGGAAAATAAATTTTTGTATGAAATTCTACCTCATTATGGTGTTTTTAATATGAAAAATCAATGCTTAATTTGACAGTACTATATTTCATGTATCAAATATTGTGCTGATATTCTATTCCTTAGAGGAGTTCCTGAAATCAGTTTTTTAAACTTAGTTCTAGACACTGAGCTCTACTTTATGTACAAATTGCTAACCTCAGTGAATCAGTAGCTGTCAAATTAGTCTTATTGATATAAAAGACATAATAATACTGTATGCCCCTTTTTCATTAAAACTCATTAAATACTATACAAAAACACTTTTACTAAAGTCTTGTGTTTATTTGTACATATACCTGAGGAGCTAGTTAGAAAATTTTTCCTGGCTAAGATATAAAGAATAATAAAAGTTGGTCTTAAACCTGCTTTACTCAGCTTCAGGTATTATTTTTGTAGAACACGAAAAGAAGATATTTCCCACACTTTACAAAACTTTCCCTAGTCAATCTGTAGATTGAAAATTAATTCAAATGAGAACAATATTGTTTAAGTAACATCTTTGAGAATCTCATTAGGCATTCCAGGAATGAAAGAGATTTTTACCCAAGATACAAAAAAGCCATGTGTTAAAAGTTGCTTTACATAGAGTTGGATAAAGATATTTGGAGTTTTCAAATTAAATGTCAGTCAGTATATACTTTAAGGCAGGGTTGAGAAAAAGAGTTAAGGAGTCTTAAATATAATTGTCATTTAATTTTTCACACCTGAAGGACAAACAGTCTGATTTACAAGAGTAAGAAGCCCATCTGTGCATCCTTACCCTTTGCCCTCCCATCCCAGCCCAAGAGACTGCCTGCTAGGGCACTTCAGTCTTGTCCGATTCTTTGCAGCCCTGTGGACTGTAGCCTGCCGGGCTCCTCTGTCCAGGGGATTTTCCAGACAAGAATACTGGAGTGGGTTGCCATGCCCTCCTTCAGGGAATCTTCCTGACCCAGGGATCAAACCCGTTTCTCTTACCCGCGTCTCTTACCTGCATTGGCAAGCAAGTTCTTTACCACTGGAGCCACCTCGGAAGCCAAGAGACTGCGCTTGTGTGCTTATAAACCAAGAGACTGTGCTTATGTCCTTATAAAGGTATTCTGTATTGTGACTTGGTGATTCTTTGCAGACTACAGCATTGGCTAAATGAACTTTTCTCTTTCTATGATGACCCCCCCCCCAAAAAAAAAAATAACTAAACCTAAGTTTGTAGAACTAAACAGAAGTCTTTTTCTAATTTCTGGCTTTCAGATATTTTCTGTTACCAACAACACAGAATGCGGGAAGTTACTGGAGGAAATCAAGTGTGCCCTTTGCTCCCCACATTCTCAGAGCCTGTTCTACTCACCTGAGAGAGAAGCCTTGGAAAGAGATCTGGCACTTCCCTTGCTCTGCAAAGACTATTGCAAAGAATTCTTTTATACTTGCCGAGGCCATATTCCAGGTAAAAAAAAAAAAAAAATGATTAAGTGAAATCAACTCCTGCAGAATAGCTTTCCAACATACTTGTTCCTAAACACTTGCTTTGTTGGTGTTGTTTAGCTGCTTAGTCGCATCCGACTCTTTGCAACCCCTGTACCATAGCCCGCCAGCTTTCTCTGTCCTTGGGGTTTCCTAGGCAAGAATATTGGAGTGGGTTGCCACTTCCTTCTCCAGGGGATCTTCCTGACCCAGGAATCAAACCCAGCTCTCAAGGTATTGGCAGGCAGATTCTTTACCATTGAGCCTCCAGGGAAGCCCAAACGCTTGCTTTCAGTTCAGTTCAGTTGAGTTGCTCAGTCGTGTCCGACTCTTTGCGACCCCATGAGTCACAGCAAGCCAGGCCTCCCTGTCCATCACCAGGGTGTAAAATTTATCTTGCCTTTCCTTTCAAAATACCTATTTTTACCTCGTAATTTAGCTGTTAAAAACTTGTAACCTTGTATTGCTGCTAAAAGGATAACTGTCATTTCACCCTACAAACAGTACATTGTTTTGTCGCAGTGTTTTACATTTCTTGTTAAACTGATAATACAGTTGGTAATCTTTACACATGCTGGATTATTGATCAGATTTCTCATTGGTGTCTTTACTCATCAGTGTCACTATCAAGACAACCTCCCCTTCCACACAGTTGATATGTAAGTGCAGTTTGTCCACTGACTTTTAAGGTATTTCCTTAAATAAAATATAATTTGAAAGCCCCCCCCCCCCAACGTAACACCTTAGAAAGTACTTTTACATATAATGACTGATGTGCCTCTCATAAAGCCTGTGAGGAAGATAGGAAAGTTCTAGTGTCCCTTTGACAGATGAGGAAAATTGAGTCTCGTGTGTGGGTGCTCAGTCGTGTCCGATTCTTTACAACCCCATGGACTGTGGCCCTCCAGGCTCCTCTGTCCATGGGAATTCACAGGCAAGAATACTGGAGTGGATTGCCATTTCCTTCTCCAGAGGATCTTCCCAACCCAAAGGTCAAACCGGAGTCTCCTACATTGGTAGGTGGATTCTTTACCACTGAGCTACCTAGTAGCCTCAGAAGTTAAATGCCTTAATCCAGTTGTATGCAGTGAGAAACTTACCAGTGAGATAAAGTTTAGTTCTTATGCTTATAATGTCCCAGATATACATGGTCATATTTTGGACCCTAATAAACGTATAAGTTCTTGGGCACTGATTAATTTTACCATCTGAGGCTTGTAAACCCTGGTATCAACACAGAAGTAGAAAAGAATTTAATAAGAGATTCTGTTTAGTTAGTGTAACAAACAAATCTACTGATGCTAACAGTTTATAAAACTCAATGGCATTGAAGTAAAAGACAACCTTTAAGAACTGTAGGATGCACTTGAACAATTTTTTTTAAACTGCTATGCACATTTTACTTTTTTCTCTGACCCAGAAACGTGTAGTTTTTGTATTTTTTTTTTTAATAGAGTGCTCTTAATAGCCTAAGAAAACATTTTGACTAGGGTTGCTTGCTTCCTTTGGTGTACCATAACATGTATCTAAACCCATTCAATGTGAAAATATTATTATTGACTTTTTAAACTACAGCCATGTTTCTAAGGGCTGCCTTAAACCAGCTGTTTCTTCCTCTTTATCACATTCCCCAAAGCAAAGTAGAATAGGTCACGGTTGCCTAGATGGCCTGCTGAGAAGTGATAACAGATTAGGTCCCATCAAGGTTTGCTGCAAATTTCCAGTGTGGAAGGTGTGCCTTTACCACTCTAAACTGAAAATGATACTGACACTCGGTGTTTTTATCTCCTTGAGATAAATACCACTAGGCTGAATTGAGAGACTCATCTGTGGGGCACTTCCTTTATTTGAAGTTATTTTAGCTTCCAAAACAAACAACAAAAAGCAATATCCACTGAGAGAGAGAGCCCAGCAAACAGCTCAGGAGCCAACCTGTAAGCACCTTGCTCCCCAGATCAACATATGTGGTGACGAATGACAAATTTATTTTTCTCCAAAGTTTGTATATATGTAAAACTGCTGAAGTGCATCAAGATGTCAAGTGCTTTTGGTGGCCACCCAGGCTGCCTTGAAAGATAACCAGATGAAAGCTCCACTCCAGTGGTAGGTGGAGCGGCCAGGGGGATTTTCAGGGCCAGGCCAGCAGGCGTTAGCAGCAAAACGGAGGGGATTCCTCTGCATCCATCAAATGCTAATAATCGCTCTAAATACATGTCCCCAAAGTGAGCTGTAATAACACACTGTTTGTGTCGATCAATTTGTTAGCCAGGCTGATCCTTGGCACACAGGTTACCATTTCCTAAAGGATGATAAATCAGATGACAATCTTCCCCTTCCGCCCTGGCCCTCAACACAGAAGGCTCTTTAGAATTCTAGAGCACTCCTTTTTCAGAAATTGCTCAAAAAGTGACTTTGTAATATTTTCACCTTCTTAAATCTATTTAATGTCATGGTTTGCTCTTCTCTGAAGTTCAACATTGTGAAAAGCAGCTACTTTGTGATTCTGTTTGTTTGTTTTTTAACCTGTCCTCATCAGCCTCATCTTTTTGCAAATCAAAAACATGAAGAGGACGGAATCTTAAGGACTGCTGAGAAGGGTTGAAAGAGAGAAAATAATTCCAGAGACATCTTCATTTCTTCCCCCATGGCCCCATACATGAAGAATTAAACACATAAATGATCTATCCCTTTGCTTTACCCCCACAGCTTTAAGAAAGTGCCGTTCACTCTGCGATACATGTATGCCCGAAAGACAGCAATTTTATAGAAACTTTAACTCAGAAAAATTCATGGTCTGCTTATTTCCACAAAAAATTTTAAAAAAGTTAAAAATCACTGCAGTAAAGAAATACTGGAGTTTTATTGATCATAATATTCTCCAGCTGTGAATTTAGTGAGGGAGATAAACTCTTAAAGCTTCTAAAAAATCCCCAAATTTCATTAAAAAAAAAGAAATGCCCATAGGAACTCCTTTCTCAATACCATGTGTCTCTTCTTCTGCCTGAATTACGATGAACAGAGGAGGTGCTTTGCTGTTCACTAAATGATGACCTAGTAAGTACATTCTGTGGAGAGGATATGAAAGGGTACCTCTGGAGTTTTGCTTTTTCCTTTAAATTTACACTCATTACCATAATGATTTTTATCACTCTCGGACTGTTATCTCTCAGCTATAGATGAGGGTAGTGTGAACTGTCTGTACACAATTAGTTCAACTGGTTTAATCCCATTGCTAAAGAGGCCAAGGTCATAGATTTGATTCCACTGAGTTTCTAAAGTCCACAGCCACTCCTGACCCCTAGTCAGATATCTTACACTTGTGTCTCATTAGTGCCCCAGAGAGCAAGCCAGAATGGATGGATTAATACACCCAGATCTACCTCCTCTGTTCGAAAATGCTTTCTAGTCCAAGCCTTACAGATGGCAGGGTTTTCCCATTTTTTTCTCATCAATATAAACAGCAAATAAAATGAGGAAAAGTTGCTTTTCTCTAGCATACTTGCTTAGAGAAAAGCTAGAGCTTAGAAAACTGCATAGAGAATATTTATTTACATGTCCAGTATTTTACAGGGTGCTTTGTGGTATAGTAAGACGGGAGAGGAGTTACAGTTCCAAAACATTTGATAAATTATCAGGAGTTATGAAACCATTACAGCTGCTGGAATCATCAGTGTACTCCCATCGATAGTGGACCTGATCATATGATGATAATCAGGGTGAGCTGCACGCCTTCAGTAAAATGCTCTTCAGGGCCTCCTTCTAAACAGAAGGGTACCATTTGCTAAACTGTATCTTCCCAGGAAATAAATGTTAGCCCAGTGTCCCAAAACCAGATCCCCTTTTAGCTCTTCATAGAAAATATATCTTACTCATCACTGTCTATAAAATCAGATCATTTAAGATAAAGTACTAATAAAAGTATTAGATGTTTCCATTCATATTATCATAATTATCAGAAAATGCCCATATTTTTATGTAAAAGTCTTCTAAGTTGGCTCCCTTCTTCCCACTTAGATTGTTCAGTTTGCCTTTAACATTGTAAAAACCTCAGAATAATTCATTGGTAGCATTCTGGTTTTGTTTAATTTGCTAAGAGAGCATAATATCTCTGGAGTGTCAGAGTTTATGAATCTGCATCGATCTTCAGATGTTCCGTTTGAAAACCATTTCTCATTTCCTCATATTTGTCCTCAGCTAATAATTCCTTACAAAATTCAATCAACCACTGGCATTATTCATTTATTTCCCCTTAAAATAGTATGGGTTTGCAGACTCTAATGTTGAAAAACAGATTATTTTTTCAAAATGAACTCAAAATGTTCTCTGAGTTGTACTTTGAAATTTATGTGTGACCCCTGCAGGTAAAACAAAGTTAAAACAAAATTTCTCCTTCACATATTCAGTTATAAATATATCCATAGTATAGCAGTCTTCCTGCATGCATCATATTGGCATAGAGAACTTCCTGCCTAAAGGTAAATATATATCTCTATCTACAGATCTATATCTGCATTTATATATAAAACATCTAGCTCCCCAAAACATCTGGGCCAAAACTGGAAAAAGTTTGATTTAGCAACTCAGTTTTCCTTCTCTTCTTTTTACCTCAAACAGAATTAGTTAACAGTACTGTGCAGTTTTCCTCTGATGCTTAGCCATTGAAGAATGGAAGAGGGAACTTAATTTCTTGCAAACAGTAAATTGCTGAAGATGAGTCAGTGCTGTTGTAGCCTTCATTCCTCTCCTCAATTTCTAATCCCTGGATTTTTCAAAGAAAGATAACCTCCTTCCAGCTGCCTTATCCCTCCCAGGGAGCATCCTTCGCAGCTGCCGTGCTCCTTATGCTGCCCATCCCCCATCACACACACACACAGACTTCCAATGACATCTGCTCTTACTCGCCTGCTTCCCAAAGATACGATGTCTCCCAATTCTGTGCTTCGTTGCTCCGTCATGTCCGACTCTTTGCAACCCCATGGACTGCAGCCTGCCAGGCTCCTCTGTCCGTGGGATTTTCCAGGCAAGCATACTGGAGTGGGTTGCCATGTCCTCCTCCAGGGCATCTTCCCAACCTAGCAATTGAACCCAGGTCTCCTGCATTGCAGGCAGATTCTTTACCAACTGAGCTACCAAGGAAGCCCAGTAGGTCAGTCAGATATCGGCATTGAAGAATCTGTCTCAGAAATTCAGGGATGATACACTTTGCCCACAAGTTAGGTTAAAATATATATTATGTCTTAATCCTATGGGACCCTCAGATTCCAAGGTTAGTTAGTCTTAGGTTGGAGGGGACTCAACTCAAGTTTAACTTTAGTTAAACTCACAGAAAATCAACTTTTTAGTGTCTTTCATATTCCATTGATGAGCCTCACTTGGTTGTCCCCAAATTCCAAGTTCTTTTTCTTACAAATACTTGCAAACTTGCATCCATTATACAACTTTTAAACCTCAGCTACATTACCTGATTACCTGGGAGTACAATAGTTTGATTTGTTAGGTAAAAATCAAAGGATTGAGCATAACTGAAAGTATTAAATCAGAAGCAGGAATTTGGGACAGCAATAGAGTCAATTCTAATCGCAATATCATATTTTAATAACAAAATTGTCAGAATATGGAAGTGAACCTTAGCCATTATGCCTTCCCCGCAAAATAAAAAGAAAAAAAACCTACCTTATTAACTCAAATTGTAAAAGTAATGTCAAAATTCTTTTTTGTGATAAGATCGTCTTTCTTATTCAACTTTTTATTTGATAAAAATTCTTACTATGTAACAAATGAAAAAATAACTCCTTTCATTCAGGTCGCTTTAAGTCTACTCTGTACTTTTGTTTCAGCTCATATTAATTTTTTTTCGGTGAGGAGTAGTATGTCAGCTCTTCTGTTTGAGAAGATTGAAAGACTATTTTAAAGATTATTTTTGTGTTACAAAATAATCTGTAAGTGAGCAAGAAAAAGGCACCAACACATTTGAATATAGAGGCTCTGTTACTGGCATCAATTGATTGCTGGATCATTGCAGGGAGTCAGTCGTTTACTGTGGCATATAATGTATGACCTTGGGATAGTAACTAGATTTATCATTTAATCATGTATGAGTGACAATACAGTAGGAATTGTAAAATGACCCAAACTGGCTCTTGATGGTCTGTCTCTTTCTTGACCGAAATTTGTTCTTCTTAGGGAGTTATTAATATGGTAGGGGAAAAAGTGCTGAAGAGTCATCAGATGAATGTGAAAGTGTGACATTTGAAAACTGGGAAGGTTTGAAAATAGAGTCAATTAATGCTGGGCTCATATTAGCTCTATTTCATACGAGCCTTTTAAGACATCTAATACAATATCGTTTCACTTGTAGTGCAACTTTAAATGTTTGATTTAAAAAGAAATGGAAATCCCAAGCCAAAATACAGTGTTCTTTCCTTTTATTTTTTTTGTCTATATATTTTCCTAGAATATTCATATAGTTCCTGAAAATTCTTGACCTATATTTTGTCTTTCAAATGTGGTATTTTTTACCATAACACTAAATATTTCTAAGGCATCTTTTTACGTTTTTTAAAGGTTTACTTCAAACTACTGCTGATGAGTTTTGCTTTTACTATGCAAGAAAAGATGGTGGTTTGTGCTTTCCTGATTTTCCAAGAAAACAAATCAGAGGACCAGCCTCTAACTACTTGGACCAGATGGAAGAATATGACAAAGTGGAAGAGATCAGCAGGTTCATAAAGATAAATGTTATTAAATCTTAAAAAAAAACAACCTGACAAGCCTTGTCATCTGTCTATGAGTCATCTGTCTATGCTCATATCCAGCAGTTATATCCTCCAGATGTTTGGTTTTTTTTCTTTTTGGTAGTTTGCTTCTCTAAAATCGTATTCGCTTAAATATCTTTAATGCTGAGACTACTAATCTTCTGTTATGAGCTTGGCTTCTCTATGATTCATGGGAATTTTATGAGTATAGTTTTAAACTTGATTTGTATGATTGTTGTTAGCTTATGGCACTGTAGAAACATTCAGCACAATTATTATTAGCTAAACAGAGTTTTATAAGTAGATCTTAGAACTTTCTTTCTGAGTACCTTTCTGTAAGGTTTAATTACTGTGAGTAACGCTGATTTTAATTGGAGTCACTGAAAGATAAGATAGTGAGCTTGTGAAAAATTTAAAATACATATGTGTTTGGACTCTCCCCTTTGCTTTCTGATAGAAAGCTTTTTGAGGGTTTTTTTTCTTCCCCCATTGAAAAGAATTTAAAAGAATCAGATTGGGACCTTGGGTTAGCAGCCCTTCATTGATTCCTAGAGGAAATATATTTTGAAAAGGATGCTACATTCATTTCTTACCTCCTTCATCTCAAGAAAAGCTTACTAGTTTTCTTTAATTTGTTTAGAAAGCACAAACACAACTGCTTCTGTATCCAGGAGGTTGTGAGTGGGCTGCGCCAGCCTGTCAGCGCCCTACATAGTGGGGATGGCTCCCACCGCCTCTTCATTCTGGAAAAAGAAGGTTATGTGAAGATACTTACCCCCGAAGGAGAAATTCTCAAGGAGCCTTATTTGGACATTCACAAACTTGTTCAGAGTGGAATAAAGGTTGGCTTTTTAAATTTTATTTATCTTTGCTCTGGCTATGTTAATTTTATTTTAGTGTTATCCTCACTAAAGGTGTTTCATCACAATAAAGGAAAGAATGTAGGAGAAAATGAGACAATAGAGGGGAGCAATAATTATGGCCACTAAATCAAGACAATGATGTTACATTTTTCATGTTATTTGGTGATGATTAAGCAGTGCAATCAGATTGGTATTTTGACTTGTTTTCCCTATGTAATTTACATACTTAAAATGATTCTTGGTTTTATAAAATATTTGTTTAAATACTGTTTAACAGGCATTAGAATTGTATATCAGCATCTGCCAGCAGAAACAAAGAGGCCTTTGGGTTATTTTGGCAATTGCAAATCATTCTTTCACTACATCTTTGTTTGACTCTGTGTCATAAGATATGCTATTTATACTGTGATTTCCTTGTACAATATTTTTACAGGTAAGTCAAATATTTTTTCTATAACTAGCCACCTTTATAACATATAAGTGCATCTATTGCCTTCTTTCCCGCTTCTTCAATTTGAATTCTCATGTTCAATAATCTAATAGGTGAGTAGACAAATACTGTCACGTTTTCTTCACAAAAGAGTTCAGTTCAGTTCAGTTGCTCAGTCGTGTCCGACTCTTTGTGACCCCGATGGACTGCAGCGCGCCAGGCTTCCCTGTCCATCACCAACTCCCGGAACTTACTCAAACTCATGTCCATTGAGTTGGTGATACCACCCAACCATCTCATCCTCTGTCGTCCCCTTCTCTTCCCATCTTCAATCTTTCCCATCATTCGGGTCTTTTCCAGTGAGTTAGTTTTATGCATCAGGTGGCCAAAGTATTGGAATCTCAGCTTCAGTATCAGTCCTTCCAATGAATTTTCAGGACTGATTTCCTTTAGGATGGACTGGTTTGATCTCCTTGCAGTCCAAAGGACTCTCAAGAGTCTTCTCAAACACCACAGTTCAAAAGCTTCAATTCTTTAGTGCTCAGCTTTCTTTATAGTCCAACTCTCTCATCCAGACATGACCACTGGAAAAACCATAGCCTTGACTAGATGGACCTTTGTTGGCAAGACCTTTGTTCACAAGAAAGTAGAATGATACAATATTAGTAGTACTAAGCTATAAGCAAATTGTGGCATTCTAAAATTCAGACATTTAACAGTTCATGAATGTCTTAGAATGAAATAAATTAAGTATGATTTGAGGAGAACTGATTATCTTTTTCATTTTAAATTGGAAAAAAACCAAGGGAGGATATATACTCTTCCACTCATATGATATAAATAAGCTCCTTCTTTTTCTGTTGAGCTCTATTCAAAGGTAAGAACATCAAAACCAGAAGAAATCAATAAGAAAAAATATACATATATTCCTGATACCTATCTATTCAGTATCTACCATGTGAAATAATTAGGATGACTCAGAGTATAGAGAATGCCTATTGTTGGGATCATTCAGCCTCAAGGTCACATTGTGACAGCATCAGTTCAGTTCAGTTCAGTCACTCAGTCTTGTCTGACTCTTTGCGACCCCATGGACTCCAGCACGCCAGGCCTCCCTGTCCATCACCAACTCCCAGAGTTTACCCAAACTCATGTCCATTGAGTCAGTGATGGCATTGAATCATCTCATCCTCTGTCGTCCCCTTCTCCTCCCACCTTCAATCTTTCCCAGCATCAGGGTCTTTTCCACTGAGTCAGTTCTTCTCATCAGGTGGCCAAAGTATTGGAATTTCAGCTTCAACATTAGTCCTTCCAATGAACACTCAGAACTGACCAGGATATAACTGTGCGAAAGAAGTACTTATGGTACTTGTGGTCCTTTAAGGAAAAGAGCTTTGGCACCAAGACACAGATCATTTAGAAAAGTTGTTTAAATCAGTAGTTTCAACTTTCTCCCAATAAAATTTTTCATTATATTTCGTAGCACATAATCCAAAGTCTTAAAATGAACCATTACTGTTTTGAACATCGGAGTTCAATAAATATATTCTGAAATGTATTCTGATAATTCACTGCCAATGGTACCTCATGAGAAAGGAATAAAGATACTGCAGCAAATGCATTACTCACTACAAGTGAGTTGTTTTTTTCCTGACCTTGAAAGCGTTTTTCTGACCTTGAAGAGTTAAACATGCCCTCTATAAAATAAAGCATTGGGGAAAGTGTTCTAAAAATCATCACCTTATAATCCTATCAATTAAAGAATATCACAATACTTTTATATACTTTCTTCCATTTTTTGTATTAAATTAATTTTTCCTGATTGCAAAGGTAACATAAGTCTGTTTTAATAACTGGAAACACAGAAGAATATGTTCTCTACTAGTTTTTTCCTAGGAAACTTTAAAATAAAAATAAGCGTTTATAAAATCTTTTTAGCCTTCATTTTTTACCTAATACTATGTCATGAGAATGTTACCAGATTTGGAAACTTTTCTCAAAAACTTAGTTTTTTTTAATGTCTTTTGAGCATTCCATTTCCTTATTAAGAGATATTTAGGATTACCCCAGTATTTTCTTTTTATCATTGTAAATAATGTTGTTTATCATTCCTGTATATATTATTTAACCTAATTATAAATAATTTCTTTAAAATTCAGTGATAAAACATTACTGAGTTGAGGGACATACACCATGATACACATTGTCAATTAACTCTATATCTTCAGCTATTTGAGAGAATAGTTTTCAAATACCATTTTACTTAAAACATTGGTATTAAAAGTTTATGTATGATAAAATGTAGGTGAAAGAAATGGGCTCAGAATACTGGAAAATTCTGTTGCAGGAAGGAAAAAACTGATGTTCTTGTTTCTACTTCAATTCAACTACCTAAAGAATGCCTTTCTTCTGATTAGAGTCACTTAAGACTCTCTTTTCATTCACACCCATTCATTGGGATATGAATGAAAGTTTATCTTCTCTGATATTGAGACATCTCATCATGCAGTAAAATAATACAAGCTAGTTTGTGACAGTGCCGTGATTCTGCAGTACGTATGTTCTGTAGGCCTCTAGGAGTTCTGCAGAACCCTGTTGGGCATTCTTTCCTAGGAGAGCTGCAGGGTTTCTCAGGCTTAAAATAAACTTCAAAATCCATTCTTCTACCCATTACGTAGAAATATGTATAATACATGTGTAGAGTTACATAAGTTGACATATTTCAAAGTGCATATTTTGGATTCTTTTAATATTTGGCACTAGTGATATCAGTGAGATAGGAACCTATCACATGGAAATTTGAATGTATGCTGTATATGCTGTATAGTCAGTATTAAGACCACATCCTTGTCCTCAAGTAGATCCTCAAGTAGATCAGGCAACAACATGCCTTTATCTCAGTCTCCAAGGAACCCCTGTCACAAGTCACAGATTGGAAGTCTTAGAAGTGACTCAGTTCAGTGGCTCAGTCGTGTCTGACTCTTTGCAACCCCATGAACCGCAGCACGCCAGGCCTCCCTGTCCATCACCAACTCCCGGAATCCACCCAAACCCATGTCCATTGAGTCAGTGATGCCATCCAACCATCTTATCCTCTGTCCCCTTCTCCTCCTGCCCTCAATCTTTCCTAGCATCAGGGTCTTTTCCAATGAGTCAGCTCTTCGAATCAGGTGGCCAAAGTATTGGAGTTTTAGCCTCAACATCAGTCCTTCCAATGAACACCCAGGACTGATCTCCCTTAGGATGGACTGGTTGGAGCTCCTTACAGTCCAAGGGACTCTCTAGAGTCTTCTCCAACACCACAGTTCAAAAGCATCAATTCTTCGGCGTTCAGCTTTCTTCATAGTCCAACTCTCACATCCATACATGACCACCAGAAAAACCATAGCCTTGACTAGACAAACCTTTGTTGACAAAATAATGTCTCTGCTTTTTAATATGCTGTCTAGGTGGGTCATAACTTTCCTTCCAAGGAGTAAGCGTCTTTTAATTTCATGGCTGCAATCACCATCTGCAGTGATTTTGGAGCCCAGAAAAATAAAGTCAGCCACTGTTTCCCCATCTATTTGCCATGAAGTCATGGGACCGGATGCCATGATCTTAGTTTTCTGAATGTTGAGTTTTAAGCCAACTTTTTCACTCTCCTCTTTCACTTTCATCAAGAGGCTCCTTAGTTCTTCTTCACTTTCTGTGATAAGGGTGGTGTCATCTGCATATCTGTACTACTGTTAGTTTAATGGAACAGATGCCAACACATTTATAAGTTGACTAGACTGCTAGTTTTTGTGGTATGCCCCTCAGAGACTTTTGAAATGAAAACAGTATCACAATCATTTCACAGTAATTTTCAGGCTTCTTGATGTGTGAAAAATTAGTGTGTTTGTGGCAGTCTTCTGAGTTTTTCAATGATTATTTTGTGTTAATAATGCAAATAGGAATTTTCATAAATTATTATGCATATCACTTGCCTATTCTTTCAGTTTTAAATGTCCTAAGAGAGGGAATAAAACTGTTTTAACAGACCAAAGTATTGACTGAAATATTCTAATCACAGCATTAATAATAATTCTGTATACTAACCCAATCTTGGTAGGTTTGAAATAAATGCAGGACAAGCCATAGTGGTGATTCCCTCCATGGTATTCATTAATGACCAATATGAGTATATTAAATCAGACATAAAGAGGAATTCTTGATTATAAGAGTTTCTAAAAGCTAGTGCTAGGTATAAGGGAATTTAGAATTCCTTTTCTGCTAATGGTCAATTCAGAATCAACAGGGATTTTTGTTACCTGGTTAAGGACTGGCCTTTTTTGTGGCAGAGAGCTGGACTTGGTTGATGTCCTTAAATATCTACCAGCCCTGATTCTTATACCACCAACAAAGAACCAGTCATTTGGGGAACTTAGAGAACACCTTCCTAAATGGGTCTTGACTAAAGCTAAAAATATGGCATCTGGTTTTTACTGGTTTGGCCAAAACATTCGTATGGATTTTTTGATAAGCTGTTGTGGAAAAACACAGGTGAACTTTTTGCCAACCCAGCATC